TTTATTTTAATTTTTATTTGTTCTGAGTTTATTTTTGTTATGTTAAAACTCATGCGCACAAATCATCCCAAAAAAAAAGGAAATAAGAAATTTTAAAAGTGTTTTGATATATATTTAGTAAACAACAATGGAACTAAAGTTGAAACATGATAAAGTCAAGAGAATTTTTCGTTGTTTGTTATACTCGTTCACGTCGTGAAAAGTGAGTATATTTGGATTTTTTTTGTGCAATGTCCGATTGTGCGTCTGCATGAAATTTGATATGCATATACTCCATACCGCATTTATAGACATATCTGGTAGTCACTGAAAATTGGGCTAGAAATTCATTTTGGGTTACAATTACATTTTTATACTAGAGTAGAGGCTATTATAGTTACACTATCTTATGATATATTATTGATATGTATACTACTCTTGGGCAAATCGGGAAAAATTACATCTCCTATAGTTTTACAGTTAGGCAAAGTAAGGTTTACAATCAAATTTCTAATGACGTTCTCTAAAAAATAGAATTTGGAAAGAACTTCACAAAATAAACACAACATTTTATATATTCTGACTGAATTTTAGCCAATTGAAGCAACGTGGACGAGTATTATGCAGTCGGTTGCGCCCGACTGCAACGTTCTGTTCCTGTTTTGTGTTGCGTTTGTTGTACATTTGCCCCTCTCAAATAACTATCTATACCCAAAATCCACATGCACTTCACATACAAATCTATCTGGAATATATATATACATATAGTTAACAATAAAGACATAGACACACACACACCAATACAAACACCTGCACACACACACTCAACTTGCAAAAAGGTCGCCAAGAAAAGAGGTGTTATACTACATAAACGAAGCGCTAAAACTCCCTCTCTCTCGCTGAGCTGTTTATCGAAAGAATAAAAAAATACACTTTGTATATTTTACAAAAATTACTTAAATATTGTTGTAAATTCATTTTATTGGTTCTATAAAATATTTTACAATTTTTATTTTAAATGAATTTGAATTCAGATTAGCTTTAAAATCATCAAAAGGAAATCAAGTTCTTTAACTTTGAAAAAAGTTTAAAATATAAAAAAGTTTAAGAAAAATTTTAATAGAAAATCTAAAAAAAAAGTTAAATATTGTAAACATCATAATTCATATAAATATATTTTTGTTATTAAAAATATATATCTCTTAAAGAAACGCGCGAATTTTCTTTTTTAATTTTTGAGTTTTTCTCTTTCCAAATTTTTATTTACATTTTTACCTTTGATTTGCTTTGATTTACTTAATTTAGGTGCGTGCGTCTTACATACAAAATGTGAATTGACTAAACTGTTATACCGTATAACAATTAGTACTGTGCTACTTGTATGTGTGTGAGTGTGTGTGTTTGCGTCTATTTTCATTTGCATTAATTGTTTTTCTGTGCGCTTGTCTCCATCATTTCTAATTTAAATAATTATGAACTGTAAATTTGATATACCAATGAAAAATCTCATCTCTCACTGTGTCTCTTTATCTCTAAATATATATATATGTATGTGTGTGTGTCCTTGTGTAAGTGTTTTGCCATTCACATGTCCAACTCGCTTTTTATCAGGCATTCACATTGAAAACAAATTTGTACAAAAATAATATAACGCTTTTACACTGTGCAACAAAATTTGATTTAATTTGGTTACAAATTTTAGCGCCAAGTAAAGAAAATCTGAAAAGTCAAGAAAAATGAGAGAAAGCATTTGCCATAAATATTTCTCTTTCCACTGTTGTTCATGAAATTATGTGCATCTATATATATATTTTTTATTTATTTTCGATTTATATATTGGTTAACTATCCACAAAAATGAGTTTGTATATGTATATTATATGTATGCAAACTATATACAATATAAATATATATCCCAAAATTA